TTTTTGTTAAATGTGAGCCAAAATCATCACAATTAAAAGAACCAAAGACTTAAACTACTTCAGTCTGTGTGCATTGAATTTATTTAATACACGAGTTTCACAATTTTAGTTGAATTACTGAAATAAATGAACTTTTCCACGACATTCTAATTTATTGAGATGCACCTGTATATGAAATAATCCCCATAACATACATAAAATCACCCCATAGCAGATCTATACAGGTGGAGCTGGGGAAGGTGGAGGGTTTCTGAAGTGCACCGCAACTGCTAGCAAGCACTAGCCAAGTATTTGAATGTTGAGCAGCATGTTCATCGGCTGCTTATTTTTTTATTTATTTCAGAAAGGGACAGTGTACATTAATCAACATTCATGAATTAGCGCAAAGGCTAATTTTCATTGGTGGTGTGAATGAAACCAATTGGCTTTACCTATCTTAGTGTACCCTATCCCATGTCATAAAGCGTGTTTGAATGTGACAGAAAATAGCTGTCCATTTTGGGCAAAAAAACCCCAAAACATACCTCTTTATGTCCTGTCAGTTCAAATAAGGATCTTTGCTGCTGCTTGGCATTGGCCATATGGCCTCGGCTCTGAAGAATTGACTCCTTTATTACAACGCAAACTGACAAGGGTAGCTAGTAATACCCTCACGATTAGCCACAGCCAGCGTGTCGCCTTCCTCCAGCCATGACTGGCATCAAACGTAGAAGTTCTAAATTCACTGTCCTTGACATGAAGCTGTTGGTGCCTGAAATGGGATTCCCGCTAATTCAAATTGAGACTGACACAGACACTCATGGTGCCGTGTCGGAGTTTTTTTTTTTTCATATTCTTCCTCTGCTTTTCCCTTTCTGTTTTATAGCTCTCGTATCACCTTGCAGAGACACACCAGGTTCTGCCTTTGGTGTCTAAGATGTACAAAATCATTTTGAAGGTGTGTCAGGATAACTTTTAATAGATTTCCTGAGCTATTCAGAATTGTTTGGCCTCAAAGGAGCGGCTCCCAGCCAAAGCTGTCCTGGCACGTTCCTGCCACCCTCTTAAAAGTTAATGGTGTGCTCTGAGAGGTAGTCAATGTTCCTCATTAGAGAATTAAAAACGAACGGGGATATGAAATGAGTTCTACTTTCAAGTAGTTCCTGAGTATATTACTGCACATCCTTCTTCCGATTGGCAAATGGGAAACATTAACGCTTTTTGATTGTAGTTTGGCTTAGGTGATGCCGGACCAAAATAGATGTAATTATTCATAATTTCAAGTATCGCTGAATTATTCTGTTAAAAGATTGTTGGGCAAATAATGCACTAATGATGTGCCAGCTGGCTCTCTATGGTAGTCACACTCATTAATGTTGAGTAATTCACATGGTTGCATGGAATTAGCCCAGATGGTGATGATGGGGCCATCGATTTCCAAGAAAGAGCACATGCTCCATTTTTCTAGTGTAAAAAAGTTCATCCTCAGTGAGTTGTAGTTTCTTCATTAAAACCAGTCACCTTCAGGGTCAGAAATTAATGGGGGTATATGGAGCGAAAATGCCACAGAATGAGACAAAAAAGCCCTAGATATAAAATTTTGTGTCTTCACAATGAATTCATTTGTTCTTTATTGGTAACATTTCATATTTTTCTATTTTATGTTTCATAGTTATATAGATTTTGCATAAAACATTGATTTAATTAAGATTTTTGCCATAATTTGGCAAATAATTTTGCCATTTTTGTTCTTTTAGAAAACTATGTCCTCATAAAGGTAAAAAAAAAAAGCCTCTGAAAAAAGTACCATAAAGTCATAAAAGTGATTCATGCTACCCATGTGCTTCCTTTGGAGTTTTGCCGAAAATCTTCTCCTAAATTTGTAAAAAATGTAAAGACAAAAAGTAAATCTAAATGCAGCCATTTTTGCTAAAATAATATAAATCATGCAGTATTTTCTTTACATATCTCCAGAGCCAAAATCGTTTTCAGTAATTGAAATGCAAATAAATAAATATAAAATGAAATCTTAAACTTGAAGACTTAAAAAAAACAAACAAAAAAAAAAACGTAAAATTAGAAATATTGCTTGTGCAAGTAATTGAAAGTACTAAAATGACTAAAAGTAAAAATAAACTAAATAATAAATAAAAGCTATGTAGAAAGATATAAAACAAACTCCTAAACATTACTAAACGACATAAAAAATAATAAAACAAACTGAAATGAAAATAAAAGCTAATTAAAAATATTAGTAAATTCTATAATAGTATGTAAATAACACTGTCCAGAATGCATCTATTATAATAGACCCAAACAATACATCTCCACTCCCACAGAAACTAGCCCTGTTGACGTTTAAAGTACATGTATGACTGCTCTGCTGACACTGGTCTCTTTTGTCAGTTCACTAATGTGGGTAAGAGTGACAGCTCCCTGGCAGGACACATCTCTTTGCGGTGCAGTTGGCTGTGGAGATACCTAATAGGATTCAATGGCTACTGTCAGAAAGACACGGCCAGCACAGATGCAGGCAGGACAATGTTGTGTTCTCTCTCTCTTTCTCTGTCTTTTTTGCCCTATAATGAGAGCTGAAGCTTGAATCCCCAGCTGTGAAGTTCCTTCTCTGAGGATTACAGCCCCCGACCGCCTACCCGTCAACTGCTGCTGCTTTTAACCACGGGGCTTTGGGTCCCCGCCGGGGTACCAGCCTCACTGCGTTCTGAAAACGGACACAATGTCGGATGATTTTTGCTGTGCCAGCCAGGAAGCACTCAACACTTTATATAACACATGGGGTGTAAATAGTGATGTCATCTGTGAATGCTTTATTGGAGTTGCTTAGATTGTTTCCTGGACGTTGAGCCAAATTTTGTGTGGATGCTATAGAAAGTCTTAATGCAGAGGCCAGGTTGAGCTTTTAAGTGTGCTGCTTTTTCTGTTCTCTTTTCAGAATGCTGGAGACATTGAGAACAGACTAAACATCCTCAATGTCCTGGATGAACTGTTGTCAGCAGGTGAGATGCCCTTTTCTCTACAGCCAAATATGTTGATTCATATTCTGACATCTCTGCACTGATTGCAAGTGTGCAAAAATTTGTTTCATCAACCATGAGGAGTCAAACAACTTGGTGTGTCCAATAAAACCACTAACCACTTCAACAAGAATACATTTGCTGATATATAGTTTTTTTTTTTTTTCAACTTTGGGCACTTGTATGTCCTGGGGATTGGTTTGTATTAAGTTAATATATATATATTTAAACTTTTGTTGAAATATTAAAATATTTAGTTAATATATTATTTGTATAATATTTATATATAATATATTTTTAAAAACATTCTTTAAATTATTGTTGAAATATTTTCTTTATTTGATTGATTTAGGTCTCATTAAGACTTTCAATCTTAAAACAGGAAAATATATCATAAAATATATTATTGTTATTGTTATTTAAAATATGATAATCTAAACAAAGAGTGAAATAAACACAGGTCAATTTAATATTTATTGTACAAAAATGATCATGGTGTCATTTCCATCACAACCAACATCTTTGCCCCTAGTAAAGTTTTTTTTCAGAATTATTGTATTATTTGGTTATTAAGGAGACAACAGCATCATTTAAGAGCACGGTTGAGATTAAAGATGAGATGTACAATGAAGAAAAGAAAAAAAAAATCGAGGTAAATAGCACTTTTTTTTTTGTCTGTCATTTCCAAACATGCATAATGTGTAAAAACATTATTTACTTGTACGTATATATAATATACCGAATGCTAGGTATAAAATTAAGTTTAGCAAGACAAAGTTAAAATAATTTTAAAATATTATTTCTGCTAGATAATACGGTTAGGTCAGTCACAGGGCCAAAAATGCTTGTAGCTGAGAAAACATTCATATACTTTTCATGCACGTTTCAGTTTGTGCCTCTGTGTGAAGAAACTGTAATGAATTACTTTTTCCTCATTTGTAGGTTGCTTTGGATAAAAGCATCTGCTAAATGAACAAATGTAAATAATGTACTTGATTAAAGTCAAGAGAACTTGAGAACACAGGAAAAAAAGACATGAAAATCTGCAATAATCCAGAGGCATTAACTTCAAAACCAAATCTTTTAAAGCAGTCTTAATAGTGTTGAAAATACTGGTGAAAGGAAGCATGACGTCAATGCACATTTCTCCCAGGATCTAATTATATGAAGTGAGCTGTTTCAGTGCTATTTATTTCCATATCTTGGCCTTATTCTTGTCTATTGTTAACCAACAAATCTATCGAATAATACTCTTGTAGAGGTGGAACAGTACTATACTAATCTTGTAATCTGAAATGAATTCACTGCAAAGTAATTAGCCAAATTTATTCACCAGCCTCCAGCACAAAGTTCTAATCAGCACGAATTTTCATAAATTCTGAAAGAAAGTCGAAAATAAACCCAGATATCATATTGCGATAATACGCCAGTGGCAAAGATGGCACCACCGTTTGTCGTACGAGTTGTTATCAGCCTAAATTTGACATTTTGTGAAATGATGGCGGCTGTTTCCTGTAGGCACAGACAGACGGATTCATCATATGATATCGAAAGGAGGCAGCGAGGCTCTGCTGACGGCTCTGGTGAACTCAGCCTGCAGCTTCACGCCCAACTACACCATCCTACTGCCGCTGCTGCACCTGCTGGCCAAGGTGGGCTACCGAGGTGAGTGATGGGGAGGAGGGGCTAGGAGAGAAGGGGAGGAGACAAAGGAATGATTGGAAACATTTTTGTTATTTTATTTTTTTAGTCCCACTTTATATCAAGTGGCCCTAGTACGAACTGTCCACTTAATATAAAGTGTAACATTCTGGACACCAACCACAATTTATATGTAAAGCCTAACTTACTGGCCGCTGCTGTGTAACGTCAGAGTAATTACATGGTAAATCCATAGGAATGGTTTACTTGATATAAAGTGTAACACTTTCTTTACCTAAAAGTGCTGTTAGTCCTGTTACACATTTGTACTTTCATTACCAAAAAGTGTTGTTAACAATGTCCTGTTACACATTTGTATTTACACATACTATTCAGTGGGTTGTTACATATGTGTAGTTACACAAACATTACAGCTGTAGATACTATGTACCAATGTGTACTTACACGGTGGTTACATACTATGTACACATCTAGTTACTATGTAAGTACACAGGTATTAGGGCCTCTTAATATAAAGTGGGACAATATAATTATATATATACACTGTGGTTACATACTATGTACACATCTAGTTACTATGTAAGTACACCGGTATTAGGGCCACATAATATAAAGTGGGACCAAAACGGGTAAACAGATTCTCTGAGCTACTCAAAACAACTCAAATGCAAATAACAGTATTATTTTAGTATTATTTTTATACAATTATAGTATTTAAATAATATTTTTAATTAGATTTTTTATTTTCAGTTCAAATTTTTATTTCATTTAAGTTTTAACTTTTATCTTTCTGTCTTTTTTATTCATTTATTTTTAAAAGATTGCTATTTTTTTTTTTTTCAGTTTTAGTTTTAATAATTTTAGTACCTCAACTTATTTCAAATTAGTTGTCAAGGCACCATTCATGTAATATTAATTAATAAATATTTAAATTAATATATTTACATAACCTCCAAAATGTAAGCATTTTAAATCTAATATTTCTAATTTTTTAGTAGTTGTAGTACTTCAACTTATTTCAGTTAGTTTTAAATATTTATATTAATACTGTTCATTTTTTATATTACATCTTTTTTATTTCATATATTTAATTGAATTATTTCAAGATTTTTATGTCATATATTTGTTTTATTTCAGCTTTGTCACAGAAAAGTGACATAAAAATTAATACTTTCAGTTTACTGTCACAATGAATAATGAATAATAATAATAGTGATTTAAATTTCAGCTTATAACATAAAATATCCACTTGAATATTATTTAACATTTCCATTTAAAAAAATAGTAGAATATGGGTTTAGAAAAACATGAGGATGCATAAATAGTAATGACAGAATTTCCATGTTAGCTGAAATAGTCCTTTAATTGTGAAATATGTTCTGATTTGGCTGTGATTGTCATTTTGCCCAACATTTCAGCTTTCGGTGTGGACCAAAAAAACGAAATAACTGGCTCCAGAAACTTGATTAAGAGACAGTGTAGTGTCCTCAAATTATTTCAACTCCAATTCAATTTCACGTTTCCTCTTCAGCTCTTCATTTTAAGTGGCTCACACTGCAGGAGACAGCCGTATTTTTCATTATGATTTATAATTTAATCATCTTTAGTGCTGAGTATTTCGGGAGTTCATTGCTGGATTGTTATAAATAGCAGAACATCCATAAGTCACATCTCGTCTGAGGGTGCAGACAGCATGTGTAGGGTCACTGTCGGGTCAGGTAAAAGCTCTCAATCCTGAGGGGTCAGAGGTTGCCGTTTGAGCACAAGAATGGTCAGTGTTTAGATAGGGCTGGACAATAATTCAATATCAATATGTATCGCGATATAATTACCACATTAGAATGAATTTATTATTATTTTTTAAATTTATTTTTCAATGTTATATGTATCAATTATAATATTGATATTTAATAGTGCATGCATGTACATTTAGATTGTCATAATCTGATCCTTATTTAAAGTTTTAAATCTTTAAAAACACTAATAATTTAATAACACTGTTAAATATAATCTTTAGTCATTTTCAAAATTATTATTTTTTGTACATTTTAAAATGTGATGCCTTAATTCACTTGTAGCATTTAAAACAAAGGATTTTAGTTTTTAATGTTTTATTTTAATTTCTTAGGCAAATTCCTATAGAATTATAATATCATCCAAATGTTATCTGCCATAAAATAGAAAAAAAATGGGCTTTTTTGCATCTTCCACAATTTTAATATTGGTGCATTATTTATTTATTATTTTATTGATTTATTTACTAAGGAATTTTGCACAATTAGTGTAAATTTGCACATTATGATTTTGTTAATGTTAAACAGTTGGTCTCGTGTATCACTCCAGTGCTTGTGTTCACACTTAGAATTAATCTGATTTAGTGTTTGACTTCGAAAGTGATGATGTCCCTTTGATATTCCAATTTCCCTAGTAGACATCCTAGTGAATGTGGTTTTGATCTTCAAACCGAAGCAAACTGTTTTATCGCAGCTGCCAACAGCTCAAAAATGTTGCCTTCCCAGATCCCTGTAGTGAGCAAAACACTGTCAGAACAAGACATTACAAATGTACATTTTATGAATGTCAAAGAGAAACGTAATTTTCTTATTTGCCTCAGATCGTCAGATTGGTCTGAAAGCACAGAAGGCAGATGCAGTTCTGGTGGTTCTGGGTTTGCTGCGGCAGAATACAGAGAACGCACGGAGAGCCGCAGCCTGTCTTTGGGTCCTCAGAGTCTTCTGCTCCTCTGGTGAGTCAGGTCTCAGATCAGTTCAGTTTTGTCTTCCTAAGCTATGAGATACTAGGGCTGGGTTTTGACACAAATTTCATGATTCGATTCGATTCTCATTCACAAGCTTTCGATTCGATGACCAATTCGATTCGATTCAGTGTCGATTATTTTGGATATATATCAGGTACAGTACATGCCAAATTTTCTCAAGGAAAAAAAAATCTCTCAACTAATGCTGTAAAATATATATGAGAGTCAGTTGGTACTACATTACTATAATATTGAAGGTTAAAATTGACTGATTTGTTAAAATTACACTTAATGAAGTTTTTAAAATTATAAAGTTACAATTACATAATATTTCTACTTCAATTAATTTGTTTGAAATATAAACATACTGGTGGCTGTCATAAAAACTTAATGGATTTATTCAAACATAAATTAAACATTGAAGAACGGTAAAATGTATAATTAATATGTTATATGGTGCATATATTTAGCAAAATGCCCCTCTCTACAATTTATTTTTCAATCTGACTAATGAGTTTATGGTCACCAAATATGTTTTTCTCAGGTAAATGTGACGTTATGTGACATTGTTTGTTTACAAGCCGTTATATTGACGTCTTTGCGCGGCTAAAACACAGATTGAGCGATTACATGAGACAGGAAACGGCTTGTAAAGTTATACTCTTTCTTTTAACTTACCTTCGGATGTTTAGTCATGTTTATTTTGTGCTGAAACTGGTATTAATGCGGAGGAGATGATCGTTTTACATGCGCCTCGCACTGCTGCGTCTGTTGAACTGAGGCGCTACAGCGATCTGTCACTCCACATTAAACAGCGCCAAAACGGCATTTATTGTTTGAATACTGCAATACAATGAAAAGAATTTGAAATCTGCTTTGATACCAAAGCACAATGCTTATTGCGATTTATTGGATGGGAGGTGCCCTTCAACGTTCTGTCCATTAACTGAAAACAGGCTAGACTAATCGATTCTTGGGATTTAAGAATCGATATCGTTCTGTAAAAATAGGAATCGATTAATATCGAGATATCGATATTTTTTACCCAGCCCTATGAGATACTCATATAAGTTATACAGTCAAATAAGTTAAATAACTTTTCTGACACAAAAACATTGAGTGAATTGAGTGAAACAATTTTGCATGAATGAATCTTAGTATAAATCATGAGAAGCAAACTAAATAAAAACTATAATATACACAACTGCTAAGAAGTTTAGATTTGGTAAGATGTTTTGTTTTTGAAAGAAGACTCTTATGCTCACCAATGCTGCATTTATTTGATAAAAAATACCATAAAAACAGTATGTAACACAGTTCGTAGTCACGGGAAGAAGGAGGCGGGAACCGGCGAACGTTCAAAGAAAACTTTAATAATAAAATAAACACAAAATAGCACAAACAGAACCAGAACACAAAATAAAATTCAGGCCTGGTCCTCTCTCGTCCAACACTGTTGTCACTCCTCCTTTTATCCTTCCGGAGCTCCTCCGTGGGACTCGAGACCGGTGAGTGGCGCAGGTGTCGCGCATTAGCATTTACTCCACCGGCCTTGATCCGTTCCCATGGTTCTCGGCCCCACCCCTCTCATCACACAGTAATATTGTGAAATGGTATTTCAATTTAAAATAACTATTTCTATTTCAATATATTTTAAAATGTAATTTATACATTTTATGCAAAGCTGAATTTTCAGCAGCATTATTCCAGTCTTCAGTGTCACACGATCCTTCAGAAATCATTCAAATATGCTGATTCGGTGCTCAAGATTTTTTTTTTTTGTATTATTATTATTATTATTATTACAAATGTTAAAAATGATTTTGCTGCAAATATTTTTGTTGAAACCATGATGCAATTTAATGCATTATTGCTGAATAAAAGTATTAATTTCTTTAAAAAAAATAAATAAAAATGAAATTACTGACCGCAGACTTTTAAACAGTAGTGTAACTGAATTGAAAACAGCCATTAAACAGTAGCATCTAAAATAAATATCTATCTGGCTAGTTGCTCCCCAACGCTTGACGTTTCACAGTCCAATTCCATACTATAAAGTTCAATTTTTCATATTTTTCAACTTTACTTTCTACCTGTGTACCTCTGTGGTTTAATATAATTCTCATGAAATAGCTTCTTTTGATGCACATCTGTTCATTTCTTGGTATCTGTAGTTATTTTCCCATCTTTCATAACACATTTCCACCTATAAAGCATTCAGGTGAAATTGCAAACCAAGCATTAGCACTTATTGTGCTGTTTTCTCTGGAATTACATTATTACTGTATTTATGCACCCACCGTATTCACATCTAACTTTTAAAGAAGAATATATTGTGTTGTTGCTCTGCATGGGGCAGGGGGAGGTTGACCTCCACCTTTGATTTACTCTTATTTGTGTGCGATTCCACCAGTGCTTGTTTTCATGGAAAATGTGATAACGGGTAAGCAGCCATAAAATGCAAATTGTCCTTTGTTGGTTTTTATTTCAAACGCAGTTGTCTTTTTGCTGTATGCAGAGTCGACAGTGTGGGGTCTGTTTATCAGTTATGTGGCAGCTATCCTGTGAATGATACCTGCACAGGAAGTTTAGCTCTCGGGTTGTGACCGTGAGAAATGCACCTCTCAGTTATCTTTCCAAAAAGGCTACCAAAAGTCTTTTATGCTTTATCATAAAAGTAGAAATATATCTTTTTTTTTTAAATACTAGACGTACAGGCTGCATACCCTGGGACGCCGAAGAGATTTCGCTGTAGCGACCGTCAGTGTTTATGATGCTAGCTAGCCTTGTAGCAAGCACAATGTATTAATAGAAGAAATATCATCTGGGCACATGCCTTGTTTATAAGGGTGAAGTTTGGACTTCGGTGGTCTCTTAAAGTTCCCCCTTGAGTCTATCCTTGTGGAGAACGATCACCCCCGCACGAGATTGACAAGGGGGATCCAGTATACGGCGCTATGAAATGCAATCTGAACAGTAGTGTTGGGTTCAGCAATGTTGCAAAGACTTTTTATTGTTGTGTTAATCACGTCTCTGGTGTTTTAGTGACCACGGCTGACCTGCTGGGGAAGAACCGAGGGCTGGATGTGGTCTTCAAGCTTATATCTCCACACACCACCAAGCACTTACGCACTGTCAAGTGAGTATCACATATCGTGTGGGTGCGTCATTGGCATATGCTGATCTTGCTTGATAGTATGAATAGTTCTGCGTGCTGAAAGCGCTGGTCATTACATTAATCACACGCTTGCTTGCATTAGTCTAAATAAAGATGTATGCCAGCATAGACTGCTCTTATTTTGATATTAAACTGATTATAATTTATCATGATAATATATTTAATATTATAGTAAATGTATTACAGACTTAACTCTGGACTCTACCACAATTTTTTGCATTTTATTATTATTTTTGTTTCATAACATCAACAACAACAACAACAGCAGCAACAACAACAACAACAATAATAATGTTATGCTAAACCCACTTTAGAACTAAAATAATAATAATAATTTTATTATTATTATTTTTATAGTTCTATTGTGTCTTTAGCCTTAATAATAATAATAATAATAATAATAATAATAATAATAATAATAATAATAATAATAATAATAATAATAATAATAATAATAATAATAATAATAATAATAATAATAATAATAATAATAATAATAATAATAATAATGATAATTTTATTTGTTTAAAAATATTTTTATTCGACTTTTTGTGATGTAGTATCTGATTCTAAACGCCAATATCGCCTGGAATCTGTGTGATCCACTAAATGTACAGACATAATTTGACTTTCAGTGATATCAAAATCTTCCAACACCAGAAGGTCAGAAGTCTGACTTTTAAGTCTCTCCGCAACGCGAGTCTCTGTCTCACCTGCAGGTGCAATCCTACTTACCTTGCTATAAAGTGTTTTTTTCTGGAGTAAAATCCACAGAATTGCTGAACATGTGTTTTCTCTACAAAGGAAAGTGTGTGGGTTCCTTTGAAATTAGCAGGCCGACTGTAGGGGGTTGTGCGTTTGTTTGCTGCGCCGCATGTGGCGTGACATATTATCAAACCAGAAATGCTAACACAGTCGTAAGATGCGGTCCTCTGTGCGCTGGCCTTGTATAATTAGTGTCTTATATTGTAACCTGTAGATCAAATCCTGTCCTGGGAAATTTGCATGCACGATACAACTCAGTTATAGCAAACATGCTCATTGATATGCTCAGAACATGCTTGTTTACTGGGGTCTGGCAACTGTGCGCTGCATAGATATGTGTTAGCCAGGTGCTGATTGGCAGTTACTAGCCTAACTTGGATAAACAGTGCTTGACCTGCAGTGAAAGGGAATGAATTCCCACATAAAGTGTGCAGCACTTGTTGAGTGTGTCCTGATGCTGCACATAGCAGCAAACCCTGATCCAAGCTGCGTTCCGATTCAGAGGGTCCCTATGTAGTGTTCACTGCTCCTACACGCTTTGTAGGGGGAATATCTATCTATCTATCTATCTATCTATCTATCTATCTATCTATCTATCTATCTATCTATCTATCTAT